TCTCTCCCTCCCCCCTCTCTCTCTTTCTCTCTCTCCCTCCTCCTCTCTGTCTCATTCTCACGCCCACTCTCTCTCGCTATCTCTCTCTTTTTTCCAGCAGCCCCCTCTTCTCTCCCTCTTTCTGGTGGTTTCCCTCGCAGCAGTTTTTCTGTCGTACATTACTCTCATCGGTATTGCGTGCTGCAGTGCTGGTGATTATTTCATCACGGATGGTCTTGTGTATGGGATGAGGATGTAGTATTTGTTGATTCAGGAAGTAAACGCTGGTATTACTATTGGCTCAGCTTGTTCAGATCAGAGTGTCCTGGATTTTTCCTCTCGCATTTGCCCTGTGTTTGTTTGGTGTTGAGACTGAATTCGACTGTTGTCTTTTTTTTTCGGAAAACAATTGTTTTGATTATTGATAGCTGTGTTGTTATTTTTGAAAGTTAAGTTATTTTAGATTCTTGTCTTGTTTTGTTTTTACGCCTGTGTTGTTGCGTCGTCTTCTGGAATTTTTTTTTTTTTTGTCCCTTCTGTTTTACTGTTTTTATTTGTGGAAGTATACTTTTTGTGGCTGGCCTTCTAAGTAATTTCCAGTGTTTGCTTTGTGGTTGTTTTTTTTACAAAGATAAGTTTGTCGCAGTCTGAGGCTCTTTCCTGTGTGAATTTTTGCTATAATCTGTCATTCTAGATGTTTTCTGCTTTGTGTAAAGCGCATAGAGTGACGCATCTTCATGGCACTATCGGTTGTTGACAGAAGACCTGTCTATTGTAACTTGGTCAATACATTTACTTTAATTCTTTTTTTCCTCCAGGCCGGTCCTATGTTCAGTAAAATATTAAATTTATCGGTAACGGACGCATCTCTCTGACCCACTGGGTTGTTGACAGCGGCCATGTGTCTATTGTGATTTGGTCAACTTTACTCGTATCCGTTTTAAAGCTATTATTTCCACCAGCTTATTGTCGTGAAATATTAGATTTAACGGTGATAATAGATAGAGGCTGGAAGCAGACTGGGTCATTACTTTGAAAATGATAAATAATAGTGTACGGTTTTATTCAGTTGCTCCAAGAACTATCGAGTTCTTGAAGGAATGATTTTCTCTATTTGTTGATCTTGTCTGATGGTTTAGCGCAACAGGAGGAATCGGTGACAGATGTAAAAAACTTGGA